TTTCAGAGGTACAGATCTGAGATTCAACAGTCTTGCACAATTCACAGCGCTTACCAGAGCACATACCCTCCCCAGTATCTATCACCCAGTCACCCAATCCCTCCCACCCCACCCCCCACTCCAGCAACCCTCAGTTTGTTACTGTATCAGTACTTTTTTAGGTGAGTTAAAAATATTATGTACTGCCAGTCCCTTCAAGTTAACACTTAAAAATGAATCTTAGTTATATTTCTAATTTCATATGCAAAATTATGTTGCTTGTTATTTCAAACGAAGATGACATGCTGGTCGAAACAAGGTCAACAAAGACACTACATGGATATACTTTATTTTGACCTATATAACTACTTTTATTTTCTCATGGTTTAAGCCAAAAGTTTATAACTTTTAGATGATTTGAAGTGAGCAAAATCTATGGATATAGTAATAGATGTCATTGTAAGGATATGGTAGCTTAAATATTTGCTCCATTTCTATGACAGAATCCAATATTACACAATTATGTTACTTTTATAATATAATACTTTTATATAATATGTGGGCATGAAATACATTCTAAATTACAGAAACAATTAGGCAATCACTGAATACTTCCCAAGAATGTTCAAAATCTCTTTCATTGTTAAATCTATCAACACAAGGGGAAAACTCCCATAAATAAACCAAATATTCAGGTATAACCATAAAATTCTTATCCATTTGTACTCATGAGATGCTGACTTTGAAGCACTTTTCAGCATTTTAACGCATCATTAGCAAATGATGTGTTAAAAAGTAGTTAATGTTTTTTCCTTCACTTTTTTCACTAAAATGAAGAGGAAAATGTAGGTTATTCCAAATTGCTGTAGAATTTTTTTTTTGAAAGTGTTATTTAAACCTCAGTAATTATTATTCAGAATGCATTATTATAGAGAAAAAAACCTTGATTTGGATAGGAAAGAAAAAGAAAAGAAATGGGGACTGATGCTGACAAAGGCCTTGGGAGAAGGATAGTATCTGTTTGTCCATCATTGTCACTGGAAGTCATAGAAGCAGAGTCCCCAGACTGGTGTACATTCCAGTGAGTAAATAAAATCCAGAAGACTTCATGAGTATAATTTTATGTCCCCTTCAGTTCTATTTATTGGAAGCAAATTGTTTGAGCATACTATTGTGAATTTCATTTTTTGCCCAAGTTAATTAAAAAGACTCCTTAGTTATTGAGTTGAAATAGTGATATTTTTCACTTATAAATATAGGCCTATTTTCAAAGCATGTCAGTTTATCAAATATATGATATCATAATAAGGAGAAAAAAGATGAAAAGAATCCTTAAGGGTTCAGTTAAGTCCGGATGTAGGTAAAAAAGCAATACTTGTTAGTTAGGGCTGGTATACAAAGGAAGCATTTTGAAATTTTGAAATAAAGATTTTTCTCTGAAACAAATTGGTACATTATGCCATCACTGCTTGTATGTAAGTTGCTGCTTTCCTTTGGTACTGGAAAATGATAAGTAAATTTCTGTAATGAATTCAGATGCAAAAGATGATACTTAAGGTTCTTTATGGACTGTTTTGAAAAGAGTGAAGGGATCATGTAATTAACTCTGTTAGGCTTTGAAAAAAGGAAAGGATTTAGTGAAATGGAAGAGAAGAATGTTAAACTTGATTTTTTTTTAGACAGGTACAGAATAATTACTTCTGATAACTTTCCTTTTATTAGCAGATCATCTCTATTGTTAAGTGTGATTTGCTTTTATTGTTTCCTTTATCTCTTGTCTTCTAAGATATTAGAAATGTATTATTTATTTTAGGGCTTCTTTGTGAAAAGATTAAGCTTTGAACTTTTCCTATTGAATTTATGTGCAAACTAATATAGTTGAATTTTGGCTAAAAATCTATGTAGGGTAAATTAAAGTTCTATCTTTTCTGTTTTTTTTTTCCCCGCATATATAAGACAGTCTCTCTTGATGTCTCATTATGGAGAGATTTCTAGGGAATTTCTAAAAGGCACTTGTACCCTTTAAAATTCTTTGGCCCCAGTAGTTCTTTACATTTTGCTCTTTGGACCATTGATCTGAGTTAAAGCTTTTGAGGTATTAAGATACCAGACATCTTTTTGTTCTGTTGTTAAATCAGAAAAATGTCCTTATTTAGTCTGTTACAACAATATGCCCAGTACTGTGAGGGTAAATTAATCCCATTCTACTGGGGTGCTATACCTTAGTTTGCCAGAGATTGTTTTTCTTTAGTGTGAATGAGAGTGACATCACCACTTTTCTTGTTTTGTAATGATAAAAATCAGTTATTGAGCTTTATTCTCTGGCATTAATGGAAATATTAAAAATGTATTAATTCTTTGTTTTACCAGGAGCCCCGGGGAAACAAATCATATCTGAATGTTTGGTATATAACATGTGTGAATGGTTCTTATGCGGGGTTCAGAGCTCTCTTCACGCATTTTGTTTTTTCCAAGCTATTAAAGAAAACAAAATTGGGATTTTAAAAATGAAGACAAAGATGGGACATAGCCAGTGAAAAATGAATGAGACTCTGGGGCTGTTTTTATCTAGTTACGAATGAGTAGTTTATGCAGCATAAGTAAAAAGAAGTGTTTACCTCAGAAGGCATAAATCTGCATAAAGCTTAAGGGAGGATCACATGAAATTCAAATCTACTGGCTCATTCACAGCATCAGCAGGCTTAGTTTCAGTAGTCGGGATATAGAGAATGTTATAAAATTAAATCTTACCTGGCAGTGGGGTGTCTGAAGCTCAGTAATCTAATTCTGGCTGGAAACAGTAAGCTCCGGTACCTGAAATGCCTTCTCTACTTTCCTTGCGGGTGTTCGTTTACCACTGTGTGGGATTTCTTGCAGCGTCTCTCTATCTGTATTCCTGGTAATCCTGTAGCATTAGTTAAGACAGCACGCAATAGACGAAGATTCCATTTGGATAGGATTGTAGAGCTGGAGGGTGAATTTTGCCTTTCTTTATCCAATAACAGCAGTTGATCTGACCACAGACAACTTGAGTGTTCAGAACTTATTAAAAATTCATTTAATGTTTCAGCAGTGAGGAGTCCGGGCCCTTTGCATAGATGGTTTTACCTTCCGGAAAAGTTCTGCTGTCCATATTTCAGAATGACACATGCCCCCAAATCAAGTTGCTTTAAAAAATTATTCCGACCCGAAGCCCAGATCTTCTCTTGCACTCTCTTGTGCCTGCCTTTACCAACTTTTCAGTCCTTTGGCTTCCTTTTTGTAGAGGACGAGGGGGTTTCTTCTGTCTTCCTTGTGCCTCTGCAACACATAGTTCTGGTACACTAGGTTGTGAATAGTGAGGGAAAAATCCAAAGGAGGTGTGGCTTTATCATCTCTCCGGACAGGGAGCATACTTGGCATGAATGGAGAGCTGATATGAGCTATTCAAACCAGACAGCAAACTGATGGGATGATGCTTTCATACATAATAAACCCATTAATTACTTCTCCTGATGGACAGCAGTATGCCCTGAAAGGGAAAAAGGAAGGAACAGATGATCATATTCAGTCTGATAGGTGCTCTCTGTACAGCTTGCGATTGCGAAGTGAATCCAGGAAAAGCTGCAGCTTTGGAATGTGATCAGGTAGAAGGGGCAAGAGTTGTTTTGACAGACAGTTAGGTGATGATTTTGGGGGAAGAGAAAAAGGGCTGAGCAAAGAGGAAGCTAGAATAAGGTTCCAAAATGCTCTTGAAAATGTTCATTTTTTTTTTTCCCTGTTCATCCTTTTGGCTGGGAGAAAGCACACTGTATTTTACCTTTGCATTATTTGCAGAAATTCTGCTGAGATGGTTTCTCCTAGTTTTCTCTAAAGAAGGAAAATAATTTTTAAAAAGCCTTCAAGATAGAAAAATATATTGTGAGTTTTTAAAAATTTATAGCAGGGAAGAGGCTGCTTTTTGTGAAAGGCACACCTGTTTTTTTTTTTATTATTTTTTTAAAAGATTTTATTTATTTATTTGAGAGAGAGAATGAGA